GAAGAAGAAGAAGAAGAATGAGTTTCAGTAAATGGTTGATGGAACACGGTTTAGGAGATATAACAAAAAGATAAAATTTATTAAGATCTATGAAAGACAGGAAATTGTGGAGAGCCATGATCGCCTGCGTCCTGAAATGACACGACATATAGAAGAAGAATGAGTTTGAGTAAATGGATGATGTAACAAAGTTTAGGGGATATAACAAAAAGATAAAATTTATTAAGAACAACAAAGTAGTAAAAAATGTAGAGAGCCATGAACGTCTTCACCCTGAAGGAGTAAAGCACATAAAGAAGAAAGCCTAAAAGTTGTGCATTGATACGCCATCTTAAATCATGGAGGAACCGCTAAGAGATAAAACTCAGTTAATTCCAGAGCGTAAAGACCTCAAATGCACTGAATCCATCACTGTGTGTGTAAAGCAGAGAAGAAAAATTTAAGGTCACTGACTAGTGGGTGAAAAAAAATCTATATAATCGGGCACACAGGTTGTTGAAAATATATAATATTTCTGAAATACCGTATGTTTGATAGGGTCAATTCAGGGTCACAAATCCCGCTGAAAGGAAAATAAGAACGATGTGGTGGTCCTTTTTTTTTATTATTGTTGCTGTTGATCGTGAAGAGACTTGATGAACGGTCAATACAGCCTTGTATTTAACTTATTCCCATTCGTGCTGCCACTTGTGATGACATTCCAGGATCGGTCATCGCGTAGAAAAGCTCATGCATATATGAACACCCGGAGAGCAGTAATGTCAGAGCCATGTCAATCGGATACCAATGTCTGAATCCAGACATGTCTAACCGGATGTATCCCCAACCGATCACGTCATAGTTCATCGATTAATTGATTGGCTTATTGTAAGGCTTATCATCCTTTTAGTAGGTTACTTAAAATCAGAAGATTTTTTTTTTTTTACATTATAACAATTTCTGGGGATAATATTGATTTACTGGTAGACCTCCTACTATTTAACCCATGGCTGGGAGATAAGAGGTGGATTCCTAGCTTTCTCAAAGATATTTATGGGTGATTGGTTTTTTACGGTTTATCAACCTATTAGGACGTTATTTAAAACCAGAAAAATACTTTTTAGTTTATAAGATTTTTTTTGAGATAATAATGATTTTTACTGATACAATTTCAACTGATAAGGGGGGAAGTAACACATTCCTACCATCCCCAAGGTTAATATAATGAACCCGACTGGAATTTGAACTCGGCTTTTCGATTTCTATCTGGTAGAGTACTTTGTTTCTGTTTATGTAGCGCCAGTCCACAATGTATGAAGAAGGATGATTTTCGCTAACACCTACATTGTTCATTCGATCAAAGTTGTTTTTAACCATTAACAAAGTTGGGGGGTTACACTATTTCCCTAATGATTTGTACAACTGAGCAAAACTGAAGAAGAAATCAGTCGAAAAGTTTCAAAAGGAAAAGAACACGTAAATGAATAAAGAAATAGAATGGAAGGAGATTCTTCTTTTCTTCTTCTTCTTCTTCTTCTTCTTCTTCTTCTTCTTTCTCTTCTTCTTCTTTTTCTTCTTCTTTCTCTTCTTCTTCTTTTTCTTCTTCTTCTTCTTCTTCTTTCTCTTCTTCTTCTTCTTCTTTCTCTTCTTCTTCTTCTTCTTCTTCTTTCTCTTCTTCTTTTTCTTCTTCTTCTTCTTCTTCTTCTTTCTCTACTTCTTCTTCTTCTTCTTTCTCTTCCTCTTCTTCTTCTTCTTCTTCTTTCTCTTCTTCTTCTTCTTCTTCTTCTTCTTCTTCTTCTTCTTTTCTTCTTCTTCTTCTTTCTCTTCTTCTTCTTTTTCTTCTTCTTCTTCTTTTCTTCTTCTTTCTCTTCTTCTTCTTCTTCTTCTTCTTCTTCTTCTTTTCTTCTTCTTCTTTCTCTTCTTCTTTTCTTCTTCTTTCTCTTCTTCTTCATCTTCTTCTTCTTCTTCTTCTTCTTCTTTCTCTTCTTCTTCTTCTTCTTTCTCTTCTTCTTCTTCTTCTTCTTCTTTCTCTTCTTCTTCATCTTCTTTCTCTTCTTCTTCTTCTTTCTCTTCTTCTTCTTCTTCTTTCTCTTCTTCTTCTTCTTCTTCTTCTTCTTCTTTTCTTCTTCTTCTTCTTTTCTCTTCTTCTTCTTCTTCTTCTTCTTCTTCTTCTTCTTTCTTTCTTTTTTCTTCTTCTTCTTCTTCTTCTTCTTCTTCTTCTTCTTCTTCTTCTTCTTCTTCTTCTTCTACTTTATCTTCACACATACCACTTCTTCTTCTTCTTCTTCTTCTTCTTCTTCTTCTTCTTCTTCTTCTTCTGCTTCTTACACCTCCTCCTCTAAATTCTCGTTCTTGTTCTCCTTGTTGTTGTTGTTGTTCTTCTTCTTCTTCTTCTTCTTCTTCTTCTTCTTCTTTCTCTTCTTCTTCTTTTTTTTTCTTCTTCTTCTTCTTCTTCTTCTTCTTCTTCTTCTCTCTTCTTCTTATTCTTCTGCTTCTTCTTCTTCTTCTTCTTCTTCTTCTGCTTCTTCTTCTTCTTCTCCTTCTTCTTCTTCTTCTCATTATTATTATTATTATTATTATTTTCACATTCTACATCTTCTTTTCTTCTTCTTTTTATTCCTTTTCTTCTTATCATTATTATTGTTATTAATTTCACCTTCTACATCGTTTGCCTTTCTTCTTCATCTTCTTCTTATTATTATTATTATTAATATTTTTATTATTATTATTATTATTATTATTTTCACCAACTACTACATCTTCTTTTCTTCTTCTTCTTTTTATCATTATTATTGTTATTATTTTCACCTTCTACATCGTCTGCCTTTCTTCTTCTTCTTCTTCTTCTTCTTCTTCTTTTTCTTCTTCTTCTTCTTCTCTGCCGTGTCTCTTCAGGACGTGGGCAATCAAAACTCTTCCCATGTTCATGTTCTTTTTAGTTGTTAATAAAGTTTATCTTTTCCTTATCCTAAAAATCATTCCTAAACCTTGCGCCGCCATCCATTTACCGTAAATACCCGTGTATAAGTCTACTTCATGAATATCACGACTCATGAATTATTTTGTGACAAAACATTCTTTCGTATAGCTCGTGTATAATACAAACCGGATATGCACTGTGGAGTAAAATGGCTATCGGGGTCGGAATGAGATCTCGGAGAGACGAGTTGAGTTCATTATAGTCACTTACGCACAAATCCCTTCGGGGGAAGATAATATAAGAATTCATCTCTTTTCTCCCCAGCTGTGGGTAAATACCAAGACACAGTAGTTAGCAACCAGTCAAGCGCAGAAAGAAATGGCAACCTACTGCGGGAAAAATCATTTGCCTATTTAAAAAGACGTGATCGCCCAAGTGTGTATCAAGTATTGCAGTTAACTGACTGACTGATAAGCAACACCAGCTTCAGAAACAAAACTAGTAAACCTACCTATATTGCAATCGTGGAGATAATCCTGGACATTTATACCAACGGAAGGATCTACATTCTTATTTTTTTTTTTTTTTTTGGTCCAAGTTAATCTTAAATGATGAACAACGCCACTTACAGTAAAATATCTGATACGAAGATTTAGATACCATACTTTTGTTTTCGTTTATGCCTGACTACGGTAGATTCTTTATTTTGTGGCTGTCTCCGACGTAGCCTAAGTTTCTTTTTTTTGTCGCTACATAGAGAACAAAACCTTATCCACTATATATGCCGCTTAAAATCAACAAAAATCTTGGATAACTGAAGAATTAATAGAGATTCTGCTGTTCCTGAAGGAACAGAAAGAACGAACCTACACTACGGGAGGCAGGCTAAATAAAATTATTTCTACTGTTGTTTTGAACCAAAGCAACTATAAAAATGTAGGCCTACCAGGTAATTTCCGGTTATTAAAAATGCATGAATTTCGACCCCTCCATAAACAACTACCCGTGAAGAGTATAACCAGTCACCGAAATTACATGATTTTAACCACTTCAAAAAATACCGATGTATAGTTCGACCATTATCTTCTATGTAAAAATGATTATAAAAAATCTCGCATTATATTCAAGGATCTATTGAACTCAAACTCTCTAGATGCGTTATCATCCTATGTTCCTCTTCCATTCAGTCTGTTCTATGAGTATCAAATTTACCAAGCCGTCTTTTCTCATTATGTGTCATCTGCCTCTTCCTGATGTTACGTATAAGTATCCTTAATTGTTTGTATTTTCTCTAAAACTTCGTCGTTGCTCAGACGTTCGGCCCATCGTAAAGCTCATCATCCTACTGTAGAACCACATTTTCTGTTGGTTCAATCTCTTCTTCATCTGTGAGGCGAATAGTCCGAACATAACGCATAAAAGCGGAAATGTCGCTCCCACCGGACCAGGCTTTCCGTATACTTGCTTCAGCCGCGTCTTCAGTTAGAAACAGTGGAAACAAAGCAATTCGCCCACCGGAAATTTCATTCGGCGACCGATGTTCGTGGAATGGCCATGATCCCGATTCACTGCAAGATTGAAAGGCACAGGTCAAGAGAATCAGTAGCATGGGCGATGCAGTGCCGCCCCGCCGGGGGATAATCTCGTATCGATCATGGCCGGTGTTATCGGAAAATGAGGCTAATCGATGGCTGTTTGATAACCTTGTCATCTCTGGTTAATTGTCTGAGATCTGGCTTCTAATGTTTGGTCACATCATTTACGTCTTTCGTCTCCCTCCCTTGACTCTGCTGACTCGATCTTACTAGTGATTTCCATTCAATGAATCTTCATTGAAAACGAAGAACGTCAATATTAATACGCATTTTCATATATATATATATATATATATATATACCAACCTATAGTCTAATATATAAGGTTTCATTTTCAGTAAACTACCCACGGATCAGTGGCAAAGATTTACACCAAGAAAGAAGAATAAGCGTTACACAATGAATATTTCCACATCCAGTGATATCGATACAGACAGTAGTCAAATGACTGAATACACAATTATTGTAGTTCAGGCGAATGGATATTTGGCTTGTTTGTTTGTTTTTTAAGAAAATCGGTTTATGAAAAGTGACAGTATCATGCAACTGATTTTTCTGGAAGCAACAATGGTATGCAGATTAAATATTCTTTCGGAACACCAATAACAGTTGAGAGTCACAGAACGCTGTGATAAGCAGAATAAGATAGATAGATAGATAGATAGATAGATAGATAGATAGATAGATAGATAGATATACACGCGAAAAGACTGAGATAGATACAGACATGGTAACGGAAAACAGGAATTATATATATATATATATATATATATATATATATATATATATATATATATATATATAAGTGAACATAGAAGTCAACGCTATATGCAATCGTCAGGCCACGATTGCATATAGCATGAAACAGACTGTCGCCTCTAATGTTGACTTTATGTTCACGTTTATATTTACACACGCTCTATCTCTGATATTGAGCACTTTATTCCATAAATATAGCACACCTTAAGACTATATTTCTTTATATAGATAGATAGATAGATAGATAGATATGAACAGACTGGGATAGATAAATATACAAAAAACTGAGATAGATAGAAACAGAATGTTGTGGAGTTATGTCGCAGTGGAGGCTAAATCGGTCCTAAAATAGGTTCGACGTACAAAAGGTGAGGAACTTGATATAATAGGTATTACGCAGAGTAATCTTGTTGTGGTCGCTTACTACTTTCGTATTCGACTAACTGTCGACTACTGTCGTCCGACATCGACACTATTTAGTAACTGCCCCACGCAGTCACATGTGGCACAAGTCCGAATTTAATGTGGAGTACTCGAGCCCGTAGGCTCGGCCAAAAAGTCCCCGTAGACCACGCATAAACGGGATCAGGTCTGTCTACCTCCCCGGACGAAACTCTGCCTCGTCCGGGTTCCTCTTTGCCCGAAGGCAGAGAGTTCGACTGTCGTCCGACATCGACTAGTATTTAGTCACCCACACTACGAGGGTATCATATGGCATCATATGGTTTAACGTGGGATCTCCGAGCCCGTGTGCTCGTCCAAAAATATACCCTTTGAACACGTATAAACGGGTTCAGGGTCGGTTTACATCCCCGAACGAGACTCCGTCCTTCGGCGTAGCCTCGTTCGGGTTCGAAGGCAGAGAGTTCAACCGTTCAGCCGGTCGTCCGACATCGACTGACCCTCGTTTCTCTTACTACTCCTACTTATATTAGGTGGGAGTGTCTATTAACTATAGAATGCGTGTGTTTCAACATAACACAGAGATATATACAGACAGACAGAAAAGGATATATAGTAACTGACAGACCGACATGAGAGCTAGCTAACAGATATGACCAGATTGTGCTAGCTAGCTAGCTTGCTAGATAGATAGATAGATATAAACAGAGGAGATAGAAAAATATGAATAGACTGGGGTAGATAGATAGATTGATAGATAGATAGATAGATAAATAGATAGATATGAACCGATTGTGATAGATAGATAGATCGATAGATAGATAGATGAAAAAACTGAGATACAAAGATACGTACAGAGAGATAGGCAGATATGAATATATGGTAACTGACAGTAAGACAGAGCGAAATGATAGCTAGTTAGATAGATAAATAGATAGATATGAACCGATTGTGATAGATAGATAGATAGATAGATAGATAGATAGATAGATAAGTTGTGACAGACAGACGTAGATGTACACTTTTTCTGTACCATGTCTTTTGAGTACATCGTAGGCGATCATGGCTCTCCACCTCCCTACCTAACTGGAATTAAATAAGAGACTCTTAAAGATAGAAACAGTAGATTCCCATATATATAAGTATGTACATATATGTATAGTGATATAATTATATATGTTAGTAAGTGAATGTGTGTTTGTGTATGTGTGTGTGTGTGCCAAATCAATTGATTGGTTCATTAACCTTTTGCACGTGTGTGTGTGTGTGTGTGTGTGTTCGCTATCTGGTGATATTAATAGATATTTAATCACTTTTGTTCACCTGGATTCACAACAGGTATAAATGGTTCAAGTTCCAATAGCAATACAGTGTAATGCCAATATAGAATAGTCAGTGGAGCATACTATTATTAATTTGAGATGATCATTTTCTCATCATTGGCTCAAGGTGAAACAAAGCAATACAAAAATTCTGGCATATCGGAAAACTTTGATTTAATGACGTATCAGGAGTAATATTGTATAGAACATTAACACGTTCTAGGGAAGCCATTCGACTTTTCATGGGTTCCACTTATGGCCGGAAATCTTCCGGAAAGATGTTCATTCATGCTCTGCCAATAACTGTCCACTCTTGGCTGATATTTTAAGTGTAACCTCTTTCGTTCAAATAAATCTCAGCTTCACGCCCTATAAATGTGCGACTGGGATCATGTCTGTCACAAACATTCGTACAATGCTTCCCAAAAAATTCTAGCCAGCCTGGGTTGGTTGATATGGTCCTTTACCCTAAAAGAATAAGCCATCGCTGTTGGGTTGCATTTAGTTGTATTTATAGATTTATTTTATGTGAACTGGCCACCCGAACTCATGCAACGTGAGAAAACCCAACAAAATTAAGTTCCCATCTCTAGCCAGCACGTTCATTTTTAAGAGTAAGACCCCTTAGTTTCATACGATCAGCAACACACCATACAATCAGCCCCAAACCACTGGGATGTTTATTCACCAGACGGTGCTACACATTGCCAGTCGGACAGGATCTAAATAACAAAGTCTCGTGCCCAAGTGAGATTTTTTCTGGCGTCGTAATGTTAAACAAGAATCTGCAGTAGTTCTTGGTCTTCCATATCTCTAAATAAGCTGAAACACCTAATGGAATTTTTGCAGGAAATGTGGATCTAATTTGCGCTAGTGTTGCTTGCCCGTGTCCGCAGACAATTCAAACTAGAATCCTCTGGCAATGATCATTAAACGTTTCCAGAGCAGAATGATCATAAAATGGAATCAAAGCTGTGATGACACATATCTTGAATCGATCCTAAAAATAAGGATATGAAATTAATAAGTACTAAACATTTAAATAACTTGTTGTATAGATCAGTAATTACAAATTTAGCACAGGAGAAAAGGAAACTGAACATAGAATAGGCTGCGCTAGGGCTAGATCCGATCCACTCCACACCACAAATTGTTACTAGACAAAAATATTAACCAGAAAACTTGAATGATGACCTGAAATCGCCTCTTGTCACGCATGGCTGCGAACAGGTTTAGAAATATCTAAAATATCCGCTGTATTTATTTGTAATTGACTCCACCCCAAGCAAGGCAATAAAGCCACTAAGACACAAGGGGTTACTGAGTGTGGAAGTATTAGAAAAGAGAAACATTACTAAGGAGCGAGAACAGAAAAACAGAGACGGAAAGTACAGTGAATACCGATTGTAATTGTATTTAAATTTTTGAATATTACAACCGCATTCTAAGATCAACGGTTATAAATGGATTTGAACGTCGTAAAGCTGGTGGATTTGGGAAAAGACCACCTATCTTGATACCAGATAAGCGAAAACAGATCGCTTGAGAACATTCAACAACAGATAAAATACATAAACATACATAAACAGATATCATACATAAACAGACTACACTAAGCTCAATATCTTATTATTGTAGAGAGTTATTATTACAATAGTAATGATGAATGAGGTGCGTGGCATGAATGAAAGGCTAAGAAGAATATCCAAACGGTGACCCTTGATTTGAAGGGGTCAAGTTTGAAGGGTTCAGGGCAACAGATGCAATCGAATTTGTTCCACAGAGTGGTAATTCTTGCGAAAACGTTATCTAAGTGTTACTTTCTTTTTGTGTTTAGAGCATGAAGGAAATGTGCCTGTTCCAAGTTTATGTCCAAGAATTAAATATCTGAATTGAAATGCAAAGAGTGCACCCGCTTTTTGGCCATTTTTTCGTTGAATATGTACAAAAGTGTTTTGATAGACGAAAAATATGACACCGAAATCCGAACACGTGTTACAGTATCGAAAGATGCATTCCAAAAGCTAAGAAACGTGCGGAGAAACAGAAGAAAAATCTTTTGAAAAAAAGAAATGTCTGATGGATTGCTATGTGATAATTATCTTCTTGTATGTCAGTGATGCTGTACAATCTTTCCACAAGTAAGAAACTGGAGGCATAGAAAATATGAGTCTACAGAAGGATGCTGAGAATGCCATGGCCGGAGCGTGTAAGCAACGAGAAAGTCTTAAAGAACATGGCAACAAAAAGAATTGTTATTCTCAGAATCAGGAAGAGATAGGTGAAATTATTGGACAAACAATGCGGAAGGAATGTTTGTGAATGGATTGTGGAACTGAAGGCAATGTGAGAAACACTTCTAAGGATCACAAGGGTTAGGACATCTTGAACGTGATCGGTACAAAGAAGAAGAAGAAGAAGAAGAAGAAGAAGAAGAAGAAGAAGAAGAAAACCTAAACTTCATATGGCATATTGAAAGAAGAAGAAGAAGAAGAAGATGATGATGATGATGACCTAATAATCATATTGCATACTGAGAAACAAAGAAGAAAAAGACTAACCTTCACAAGGCATACTGAGAGAAGAAGAAGAAGAAGAAGAAGAAGAAGAAGAAGAAGACCTAACCTTTACAGGGCATATTGAGAGAAGAAGAAGAAGAAGAAGTAGAAGAAGAAGAAGAAGAAGTAGGAGGAGAAGGACGAAGCGGAAGAGGAAGAGGAGATGGCTGTTTGATAACCTGGTTCATTGTCTGAGATCTGGCATATTGAGAGAAGTACAAGAATGAGAGGCAAAAAAGAAGAAGAAGAAGAAGAAGAAGAATTAGATGATGATAATGATGATAATGATGATGATGATGATGAGACCTAATAATCCTATTGCATACTGAGAAACGAAGTAGAAAAAGACTATCATTCACAAGGCATATTGAGAGGAGGAGAAGAAGAAGAAGAAGAAGAAGAAGAAGAAGAAGAAGAAGAAGAAGAAAGAAAGCGGAAAAGGAGGAGAAAATGGCTGTTTGATAACCTTGTCATCTCTGGTTCATTGTCTGAGATCTGGCATATTGAGAGAAGGGGAGGCGAAGAAGAAGAAGAAGAAGAAGAAGAAGAAGAAGAAGAAGAAGAAGAAGAAGAAGAAGATCTATCAATGGCAGGGCATACTCAGAGCATGAGAGATTGTGTCAATGGATGGAGAAACGTGAACGGTGGTCTTAGCAAAGGGCTAAAAAAGAGCCACAAAGGATAATTTTTTGAGGGCCAAGAAGAAGAAGAAGAGGAAGAAAAAGAGGAAGACTAGGTAACGTTGTGTATAGGCTCATCGATATTAGCGAACACAAATATGCAAAATTATAACTCGTGTTTGATCGTCTTTTTCGATTTAACCTCGTTTTTCCTGTGAAGCGTGTTTCTTTTCGCTAATCCGATGCATATCAACAGAGTTAAAACAATCTCTTCTGGATCGCTATACTCTCTCCATTCTTATACATCGATCTGTCAATCATTTCATCTGTTCCACTCAGTCAAACTATCGATTATTTCACTTTGAACGCAAACGATATTCCACTCTCTTTTATCCAGCTCTCCTTTTCTCATCTTCGACTTATCGCTTTCCAACGTTCTAGCTTTTTCTCGTGCAAGCTGTTGGCCTATGTTTAATTTCACGCTTACCTTTGGGAGATAGTTGAACCTCTCGTCCCCTTTTGTGAATTTGACTCCACTAAGTGCCCTGAAACAGTGCCCTTGTGTCAGACATCATAGTAACGAAACAGAAATAATTGTGTGCTTTAAGGACTCATCCCGAAGAGCAATTGGATAGTTTAAAGAGTTTCTATCGAACTGAATGGCTTATTGCCTTGTGTCAGACTACCTTAGGCTTAATAAATAATTCTGAGCGTCTATCGTTATGCATTGATAATAAACTAAATAAATTTGCTCTTATTCAGACGTGGATCCTCAGTGGGAGCTGTAAAACAGTTTAATGAGTATGTACAAAGCTGAGTACCCCATTGCCTTGTGTCAGACTAATTTAGGCTTAATAAATAATTTTGAGTGTCTATCGTTATGGGATGAACATAAACTAAATGAATTTGCTCCTATTCAGACGTCGATCCTCACTGGGAGCTGTACACCAGTTTAATGGGTTTGTACATAGCTGAGTGCGCCATTGCCTTGTTTCAGAATAATTTAGGCTTAACATATAATTTTGAGACCTTATCGTTATGGGATGAAAATAAACTATAAAAAATGCCAAGCCCTGCGGCACTCGACAAGAGATTGACGGCCCCAATCTGAATGGAAATAATCTGAACCCTGAGGGTGTGGAATCCTGACAACTTTTAATATAAGACAATGGTATTTCATGTCTTCGGCAGAAAGAGCCGAGTCAGTAAATAGACACGATAGGTTGCTGGCTAACAGTTGACTTTCGTTCCGGGTTTTCCACAGCTTTTAAATTCTTCCAAGAATCGACGGTTCTACTGCTATATCCCATGGAAATAAAGCAAGAAAAAAAGAGACCCCTAAAAAAATTTCTGTCTTTCATTCAGTCGATGATGGAGTGTTGGAATTCCGACTTCAGGTATTGCCGATAGACCAACAGGATCGGTAGTATCTATCTATCTATCTATCTATCTATCTATTACAATATAAATATTATGAAATGGCGACAATTTGCCCATTGCATCATATATATATATATATATATATATATATAATGAATTTGTTATTTATTAATCCGACAGGTATTATCACTTTTTAACGTTATCTTAGTGGATGCCCATATTTGAGTAGCCGTTCCCCTTATTTATTAGACATTATATTTATTTATTTTTTATCTACCAGCCTGAATAATAAGATATTTTTTAATATGCAGGCCGTATAACGGTGAAAAGCCAGTGCATTAAAACTGTTGTTATGCCGCATATCTCATTTTTAGGTTTGCCGATAGCCAATGTTCTACATTAGCGAAAAATAGCAAGTATCACTTTAGCTCAATGCGGGATACGAGTTAATAGAAAAGAAGGAAGAGTGCTACCTTGAGTAGTTTTCTTTTCAGCATCACTTAAACTGCTTTTACGGCCCATCTTTACACTAAATTCTTACACTTTTCTAATAATTTGGCAAGCTCAAATCCCGCTGCTGATAACAAAAATGGTACCAGTTTGTTTACATTGCGCAGATTAGTACGAAAATTTCAGTGATTGCACAGGTCAGTGTTGCCATCATTGTGTGAAAATTTTGTGTGAATTGATTGGACGGTTTTTGAAATATTATCTCAATAATAATTTGGCACGCAATGTATATATATATATATATATATATATATATATATATATATATATATATATATATATATATATATATTAAGAAATGGACAAAGTCCGACAATTTATTTATTAAAGACATTTTATGTTTAACGTTCTTTTTATAGATACAATATATAAATGTTATTTAATACTGTTTATTATAAACAGAGCATTTACTTAAATACTTGTATCTATAAAAGAAAGTTAAACATAAAAATGTCTTAATATATATATATATATATATATAAAGACATTTTTTATGTTTATACATTCTTTTTATAGATACACATGTTTAAGTAAATGCTCCGTTTATAATAAACAGTATTAAACAACATTTACCGGCCTGAATGTCCGAGAAATTTTTACAGAAAATATTCGTCCTCCGACAGGAATCGAACCTGTATCCTATACGGAACCTTCATTTAGGTTGACGTGACTTTAACCGATTTGGCTACAGAGGAGCGTTCGGTTGGCAAAGTCGAATGTAGCCAAATCGGTTAAGGCACGTCAAGCTAAATGACCGTTTTTTGATTTTATCTAGGTCTCACTCTACATTTCACCTCAAGGTTCTAGAGTCCTTGTATATCAGATCCTGTGAGCCTTCCCTTTGTAACCAGAAAGAATGCTTACTGGGTTTGAATGTCATTGGACTCTAGTTTCTTGAAATTCAGTTTTTTTTTTCTCTTCCATTCTATTCCATTCTATTCGTTAATTTAATTTACACGCTTTTATAAATTTTATAAAATTTCTATTCCCAGAAAAATAAACTTGATAAGTCCTGGGACGAAGCCAGTATTTTGTTTTTTAGCTTTTCTTTTATAAAAAATGTCTTATAAATTTTGTCTTTTCCTATCTATTATTAAATTCTCTACCCCAAAAAACTTTATATATATATATATATATATATATATATATATATATAGCACTCCCATGAATAATTATTTTATGTTCTATAAAATAGAACAGACAGGTAATGTCTGTTGAAGACGTTGGTGCCTCTTTCCTTGTGCTTAATAAAGCTTTTACTATCCGTTAAATTTCCGAAATTATATGTTTTGAATAATTTTGAACTATGTGCGACGTTATCAAGGAGATGTGGTAGAAATCAGACTGGAATGTATCATATTAATGTTCTTAATATCATCAAAATTTTACCTGAAATCCTGTTCAATGGGCAATGACTATGAAAAAGAATTTAACATTGACATATGAGCAAGAAGACGAGAACAACTTTTATTTATTTATTTTTTTAAGCACTTCACCACAATCAAGTCGGGAGAGCCATTAGCACGCAAGGGGTTACATTGAGTGAAAATAAGTGTAAAGAGTGGTGTTTGAAGAAAGGGTATACAGAAGGACGTAGATCATGGTCAAAGAAAAGAAGCTCTATGAGTCGAAGGTGAAAGGTTACGACCGAGGTTCCAGCCTAATAAATGCTTAAATTCATGTAGTTCGGGCACCAATGAAAATAGCTTGTCAAAGCAGTTACAATGAATATATTTGTAGAAAAGACAGAGGGAAACCACATCATATCTGTGAGAAAGTGACTGGAGTCGAGATCACATTGCACATCGATCTTTAGATTTTGTTGATGAACATCAGGGGCACCAGACCATATATGGCAACAGTATTTAATACAAGGACGAATGACAGATTTGTAGATTGAAAGGATGGACTCAGAAGAGAAAAACATCATGGCGTGACCAACTTTCCTTGTGGTAGATGAAGCTATTGAGTCAATGTAATTGTTCCACTTCAGGTCAGTAGGAAAACGTGAGACCAAGGACGTACAGAGAGATACTCTCATGAAGCTGCTGGAGTAAAGAGGCGGTTACATTTAGCTGTTTTGTAAAGGTTATGGTCACGGGTTTTGCAATCAACATTCCGGGTTCAAACTCCTTCCTCGTCTTGAATCCGTCATTTCTATCCTCAACTATGACATATTCTAGCCTTGGATGTAAACCAGTCTAGAAGGATTTTGTTTGATTTCTGCATAACACCCGATCATCCACTAGAGGCTTAAATTTTTTTAAGCATTTCACCCCAAGCAAGTGTAAAGAAGGGTGTTTGAGAAAAGAATATATAGAAGGACGGAGATCAAGACCAAGGTATCAGAAGATGTCGATTGACATTACATTTGAATATTTAAAGATTATAGTTATCAGGGAAGCAAGTAAGCGGAAGGGAGTTCCACTGTCGGGAAGTGCGAAAGAAGAAGCTTTTGGAGTAGAAGAGGCGGTTACATTTTACTGTTTCGACTGTGAAATGTTGGGACAGCGGTACCAACGTAGTAGTACGCTTAGATTCATGCAGTTGAGGCAACAGTGAAAATAGCTTGTCAAAGCAGTTACCATGACAGATGGAAGCCACATCGTTTCTGTGAAAAATTGATTGGATTCGAGATGCCAGGTCAGGACTTATCACGTTGCATATCCGGTCTTTTAATGACAACGGTTACCAAGATGTGTAATATTGCTTTTTACGGTCAGCGTGGCAGTGTACAGCGTTATCATAGAATAAAATCTCAGAGAAATTAGAAGGGGCGCCGTGCATTCGTCTAACATTGCACTTTTCTCAAAGAGATAAATGACCAATATTCCTGGAGAAATTTTGCGGAATGATCAATATATGTTGAATATTTTCACCAGCAGAGAGAATCCTCGAAAAGAACAAGATTATTTGTATACAACATTGGGCTTTTGAAAAGTATTTTTTTTACCATTTACAGAGGCAACTTTAAAGTTGATTATGTTACCCTTTGTAAGATATATATATATATATATATATATATATATATATATATATATATATATATATATATATGAATCAATTCATTCAAAAAGTATGAATGATTCATTCTCTTAAATTTTCAAAAAATTCAACCTTAGCATTGCGACAGCACGCCCCAAAAGTTTGTATCCGTTAACAATAACGCTTTTCAAAGACAAAGAAAACATATTTTGATTCGCATTTAATTTTTCTGTTTCGGATGTTACCTCAATTTTAGCAAAAACAAAATAATTCGCATGCCTGAAGATGACTGAATGTACAGTTGAAAGTACTTACGTATTAAAGAAAGACGTTATAAAGCTTATAATTTTTAAAAACAAGGATCATAACATTCATCGAGTGATTGTAGATTAACGCACCTTTAAAATTTTTTTGCGAAGGGATTTCGCCAT